CTGGCCAAAACTGCAACCAAAAAAAAAAAAAAACAAAGAAGTAGTGAGAAGAGCAAAAACAGCACGTAGACTTAGGCATGATCAAACTATTGTATAGGGCACAAGTGATTCTTTTGCCTCAGCTTCCCAAGTAGCTGGGATTACAGGCACCTGCCATAATGCCTGGCTGTTTTTTGGTTGCAGATGTCATTGTTGTTTAGCAGGCCTGGGCTGGGCTCAAACCCTCCAGCATCAGTGTATGTGGCCAGTGCCCTACTCACTAAGCCACTGGCACCGCCTCTTCCTATCTTATCCCCTAAGAATAATGTTGTCTATCAACTATTCACAGCCACGTGTTCTGTTTCTTTTTAGTGGATATGCTGCTGATGAAATCACTCACTGCATACGGCCTCAGGACATCAAGGAGCGCAGAGCGGTCATCATTCTTAGGAAGTAAGTGCCATGATGTCTGGTGCTTTCTGCCTTGCCTCCAGGCCTGTCTGGAGATATATGTCTGTGTTCTCTCTTAAAACTCAGCTCCTCCATATCAGTGGCATAACAGGGTGAAACCTGAGAGAGCAGAAGCCTGTATGTTCTCTTACTTTTTATTTGTATTGCACGAGGATAAAGCTGGTTGGTCTTTTCATCAGAAAATGAAGTTCTTTGGTTATTTACCAGGGAACTTAGGACTGAGCAAAACCACATGTTCCTGATATTTATGGATATAGTCTTAAGACAAGATTTGGGGTACACTCTACCAGACCCTACCACACCTTTTCTAGCCTTTCTTTCTCACCTCCCTGTTTCTGATTTGTCACATGTGCTTTCAGGGATTATTTTTAGACTGTGCCTCAGCAGCCTGCTTTTAAAACTCCTGGGTTTTCATGTCTAGGGGAAGGAAGGAGTGAGGAGAGGAGGTGAGGGTGGAAAGTTAGGATGCAGTATTCATAGCTTTTTTTTTTTTTTTGAAGACAGAGCCTCAAGCTGTCCTCCTGGGTAGAGTGCCGTGGCATCACAGCTCATAGCAACCTCCAACTCTTGGGCTTAAGCAATTCTTTTGCCTCAGCCTCCCAAGTAGGTGGGACTAAAGGTGCCCGCCACAACGCCCGGCTATTTTTTGGTTGTAGCCGTCGTCATTTGGCAGGCCCGGGCTGGATTTGAACCCGCCAGCTCAGGTGTATGTGGCTGGTGCCTTAGCCGCTTGAGCCACAGGCACCGAGCCAGGATCATAACTTGTGGCTGTTTTTTCTGGGGAGGGGATATCTACAAACCTGGCCTCACCAGCAGTTCTTTCTTTCTCCTCATGGGGTGCATGGACTGAGATTTTTCAGAGGCCACAGCCACACAGACATTGGGTCAAGACAGCCTTTTTATTGAATAAAGTCCCAGACAGGATGGATAGATGATTGCTTAGTCACATGGAAGTGGTGAGAAGAGGGTGGCGCTTGTGGCTCAGTGAGTGGGATGCTGGCTGCAGGTACCGAGGGCAGTGGGTTCAAACACACTGCCCTGGCCAAAACTGCAACCAAAAAAAAAAAAAACCAAGAAGTAGTGAGAAGAGCAAAAACAGCACGTAGACTTAGGCATGATCAAACTATTGTATAGCTTGCTGTCTTTTTTTAAAATTAAACTCTAGAACAGTTTTGTTTTGTTTTTTTGAGACAGAGCCTCAAGCTGTCACCCTGGGTAGAGTGCTGTGGCATCACAGCTCACAGCAGCCTTCAACTCCTGGGCTCAAGAGATTCTCCTGCCTCCGCCTCCCAAGTAGCTGAGATTACAGGTGCCTGCCACAATGTCTGGCTGTTTTTTGGTTGCAGCAGTCATTGTTATTTGGTGGGCCCGGGCTGGATTCGAACCTGCCAGCTCAGGTGTATATGGCTGGTGCCTTAACCACTTGAGCCACAGGCGCCGAGCCTTTAGAACAGTTTTATAGAAAGTTATGATGATAGTACAGAGTGTTCCCATCTACCGTCCATCTCATTTCCCTAATTGTTAATCTTGTATTAGTATGATACATTAGTCAAGAAACCAATGTAAGTACTGATATGTTACTAACTAAAGTCCATACTTTAGCTTTTCGGCCAGAGATGCCATCTTTCAGTAATTCACCAAAATGACAAACACAAAGGGAAAAAGGAGAGGCACCTGATACATGTTCTCTAGGCCTTTTAGAAAACATGGAGTTGTTCCTTTGGCCACATACATGCGAATCTACAAGAAAGGTGATAGTGTAGACATCAAGGGAATGGGTATTGTTCAAAAAGGCATGCCACACAAATGTTACCATGGCAAAACTGGAAGAGTCTACAGTGTTACCCAGCATGCTGTTGGCATTGTTGTAAACAAACAAGTTAAGGGCAAGATTCTTGCCAAGAGGATTAATGTTCGTATTGAGCATATTAAGCACTCTAAGAGCCGAGATAGCTTCCTGAAACATGTGAAGGAAAATGATCAGAAAAAGAAGGAAGCCAAAGAGAAAGGTACCTGGGTTCAGCTGAAGCGCCAGCCTGCTCCACCCAGAGAAGCCCACTTTGTGAGAACCAATGGAAAGGAGCCTGAGCTCCTGGAACCCGTTCCCTATGAATTCATGGCATAAAGCGTATAACATAGCACACAGGAGTACCAGTGGACCCATGCTTTTAGGTGCGAGAACCTATTTACTCTCCATGAGATCGTGACATAATAAGTGTACAGCATAGCACACAGGATAACCAATTAGACCCCATGTAACAGTGATATACGGTGCTGGAATCTATTTCCCATGAATTCAAAAGTCAGTGTTTTGTCACATTCAATGGCAAGATGCCTCCCTGAGCTATTGGAGCCTCTTCCCTATGAATTCATGGGACGGTAGTTAAAAACAAAAAACAATAGCCTAAAGATGTGTGTTGTTTGTTCACTACAAATGTGATTTTTTTTTTTTT